TATCATCATTTGATGAACAAAATACTAAATAAAGACATGATTATTTTAAATTTCAATATTAAATCATCACTGCTACAAAGTCACAAATATGTTTATGAACAGTCTTGAGATAGGAATAAATTTATCATTGGAAGATATTGAATAAACTAGAGAGAATCAATATTTGTAAGATATTTTTGATCAGATATAACTCTGCCAAAGAGAAATGTTGATAAAAACCATTCCAACACATCGTCTTTGAGTGAACCATTTAATCAAGATTGAAACATGAAAGAAATAGGATAGTTTAAGTGAGTGGAAGTCATGATTTCCTCGTAAGATTTTATATCTTCTTCTCGATTCGCCAGTTTAGCACCTAGTTTTCAGTCTATCATGACCTTCTTTAATACTATCTCTAACTGAATATAATATTCCAAATTGACTCGATTCTAAATAATCATGGAAAATATTTTCAGTAATAATAGTATTATTCCACCCAGAGCTTTCGGATGAAACATCTTATCTTTTATTCAATATTTTTATGATTAAATTAGAAGTCTCAATAAGTTTGATATTCTGTCATTGTTATTCAAAATTTAACTAGCTAACATTATTTTACTCCAGTTATTTTTATCTGTGTAGAAGAAGTTGATTTCAATATGATTGTTATTATATAATATGAAGCTAGAACGAAGTTAATGTTACAAGCCAAATCACTGTAATTGGCATGAATTCAATTTTCAATGAGATTTCTATAAAATTGATATTCAAATGAATTCTTACTTCTCAAATTGGTGAATTTTAATAAATGAAATTGATGCATTCATAGATTAATCTATGAGTGAGGTAATGGTCTACGTAATATGATGAAAATAACAGCTGAAATGGGATTAATAAGTGCTAAAAATTGATAAGCGGATCTAGATATATACTGTGCTGGATTATTTATTCATATATGGAAGACTTTTACGCAATTGTGAACATTTAAAACGCTATTAATGTTGTGCATAGTCAGAGAGCATAACCGTAATCGCGAGAATGGTACAACTATCTTCTAGGTATATTTTGCCCATTTTATGTATGACTACTCAACGATATAGAATACTTAAATTTGCTCTTTCGTACATAATTTTAAAGCAAGATTTTCAACCTTTTACTCTTCACTTCTCATTTTATCCTTTCTCAGCTGAATGATGCCACTCAAGCTCCTTAAATGCTGATATGCATATAAATATATACGTAATAGTATTATACGCAAGTCCATGTTGAGCTGTTCTCTTTTGCTTCTGCTCTGTTTTCCCCACATCTCTTTCATCTTCTTAGAATAACTCGCAAATCTCTCGAACTTTCTGCTCTTTAGAATAACGAGTTTACTACAACTTGTGAAGAGCTAATTGATTCATTCAGGTTTGCTGAGAAACCATAAACTCTTCCTGTCTTTTGAACTTTTATATATATTTTTACTTCTTAAGATCATTTATTTTATACCTTTTTGCTTGCTAGGGATACAGTACAACTATGTCTGAGTGTTCTGCAACTAATAGAAGAAGTTAATTAATTTTTGCTTAATTAGTTTTATGCAATTCAAGCTTGAACTCAGTCCTTTTATCGGCTTCTAGTCATTGTTTATATTCAGAATTTTCTAGAAAAGCGAGATGAAAACATTAAGTTTTTAGAAAAGTTAGCGCACAAGAAGATAAAGTACAAAAGAATTGAGTTAAAAATAAACTTATTTGTTATATTATCTTTTGGAATTTATTTTCTAACAAAGAATAATTTAGAAACTAGGAAAATAAGTTGGCTTGTGTTGACAATCTGTCATCAATATTATTCTTTTGGATTTACCATCTATTGTTCTGTCTTTAAAACAATATCTTAAATGAATGCCAGATTATTATTCATATTTTTTATGCATGATTCACTAGTAATAAAGACATTATATTGCTATTGTTTATCTACATATGTATATAGAAAATGCAGAAAAAAATAGACTCTAAATACAATTTTGCATGAATTGATTGTTAGTTTCGCACTAATGCGTCCCCTCTGTTTCCGTACAAATATGCTTATGTTAGTTGACAGTCCGTCAATGGCATCAATGTGTTTGATAGTATGCACATCAATACAGAATGTGTGGAATCCAATACGACAGGCGGGACAAAAGCCTTGCTATTCATGTCAAGCTCTCCTCGAGGACGCAAAAATATGAGTAAACAAAATAGAAGATTTTTAAACTTTGTCAGAAGGGTCATCTAAAATCTATAGTACCTGTAGAGCGGTTTGGCTTTTTAGGCCTTGAAAAGAATCCTTTGTGTACTTTATTAAGTAAAGCAAGTGTGTAGTATAGTTTGAATAAATACGTTTCTATATGTTGGAAATAGAACAAAATAAATATGTAGTGATGATAAAAAAAAAGAATAAATATGATAATCTTTTTCAATTTGTCAGTTGATCAATATCACTCTGACGAGTTGATTGGCTTGATGTATTGAAAAATGAAACCGACAAAGAGAATGAAGATAAATGAACTTGAAAGTTACTAGACACAGTTGATATTAAAAATTGTTAGCCACCGCTTTTTGGTAGTCAATAAAGCTACTGGCTATTTCCCTGTTGACCTGTCACTCTGAGACAGTTTCAATCAGACGCTTGGCATTGTTAACCCCACGCGCCAATTGTACTGAATACAACGTTCTGCTTCTCATCAATAGCAAGGGTCGTGTCTCAGTTTGACCTATTTGCTTACTTCCATCTTGATGGACTATTCATACTGAAAAATTTATTCCAGATACATCAGCATCAATAATATTATGACATTTATGACTTTCATCACTGCTTTTCAGTGCAAAAAGATCTTCTGTAGATAAAATGAAGGTTCAAAACCTGGAATTAATATTAATGAAGTATGCTATATTTAGACAGAGAAACATCACGTGTCAACCTTATCCATCACATCTTGCGAAGCTTTAAAGTCATTTTTCTCGTTTCTGTTCCATTTTAACTCACATTTAAGTGTTTGGCTTTTCTATTTTTTCCCCCTTTTTTTCGTTCCAGTTTCTCTTTTGCTCAGTTGATGGCAAGCCAGATTTTGTAATGCGATTCGCAGTTCCTCATCACTTCCAATTCATGCCATCAGTTGAGTTACTCTCTTTGATCCTCCTTGCTTTTTTTCTCCGGCCTCTGCCTCCAAGTATATTAATAGAAAAGTAAAGAAATTACTTCCATACCGTTTGGTTTGTTTTACTTTTTAATAAGAATTTCAGTAAACAATGATAGTTAATTAAAAAAAGAATTCCAGTCTTTGAAATTCAGAACTGATGAAGGCCTTTAAAATAAGCATTTATTGACAAGATAAGCGCAATGATGAATTATTCACGAGCTGTAATTAACTTGGAAATTTCAGATCGAGTTAAAATTGACAAATGAACCGAGACAGTTATTTAGGTAACGTTATTTTGTATGCTATAATTGTCGTTGACATCCGCTGATCGAGATAATCCGATGAACGTAGACATTCACCATCGTCGATATCGATAAAGAAAATGAATTTACCCCATGAGTCGTATGTAATTGTAAATCAATTGTAAAATTTACAATTGAATTGCAAAAGCAAAAATGAAAGAAAAGAAAAGAGGAATAGTTACACAATGGAAGACCATATGGAATAGTTGTCAATTCAAGTTTAGCACCACCTGCTCAATTTTTCTTTCTCTTTAATAAAGAATTGTGATGATATAATCAATCTACTGATTTATATTCTTTATCGTCTAAAATCGGTAAACTAACTTTCCAATAAACCATGATTTTCACTAAAAAATACCAAGTCTGACAGCTTTAAATTTATTCACTTAAAAATTTGGATTATTCACAATTGTGGTGGTAGATGTAATTAAATTTCGATGGAAAAACTGAAGCTGAAAAGTTGAAATTTAATAAATTCTGAATAGACATATTTGAATGATGTATGCATTTAAAGCTTCGACTATGATGGTTGAAGAAAGAAGGAATTTTGATTTGATGAAAAATAAATTTTTATCTTTGAAAACTGATTTTATAAAATAGTAAAAATATGAAATTCTATAAAAATCTGCTTTAAGTAATGTATAAATATATCAAGAGTATAATATACATATGTATAAGCTTTGAAGGATGATAGGGTAAGGTTGAAGTGAAGGAGCTGACTCGTACGTTAAATCAGTATTCATATATTCGTTCAGGAATCTACACAGCCTTCCGGAAAATCAATACCTAATGAAATCAATGTTGTTACATGTCAGCATACCTAAGCCATGGGTTTTAGTGTAGATGAGATCTGTTTTACTCTGTGTGCATTGAAGCAAAAAATCACAATTTTATTTACCATGAAGTTAGGTCTAATATTATTATTTACGATACTTTGAGTTGATTGTAGTCTTGTATTAGAATGGAAAAATTTAAAATTAAACGACTCATTTTTCTTGCTCAATTTTCTGTTCAACTTCTAATGCAATCGATTTAGTAAGAGCAGTGAAATCCATTTAAACCGAGGGTGTTGTGCAACGTTAAGTCGACTGGTAAAAATATCACTTGTTCCTTCCTTCTTTTTCAACACGCCTCGTCGTTTAAATCTTTTCAATCCATTTTTACATTTTTTTTTGTAACTTCCTGTCGTCGTTCTTCCGGTTGCTCTGCACTTCAGTGAAGACTTGTGGAAGAGTAAATCGAATCATCTAAGTAGACTCTTAAGTAAAATCTGATTTTTGTCCTCATAATTTGTGAATTGATTAAAGTTTAATGAGAATAAGTTTTTTTGCTGATAAAATATGAAGTCTTTTTCTGGTAAAAAACATTTAGTCAGGAAATTCAGTTTAATTAACGATTTTTATCCTTAAAAAATTAAATAAAATTTAAATATTGAGATATTGCTAATAATGGACTTTACTTCAATGCATTCATAACTTTCTTATAATTTTTAGAAAAATTTAACAAAATAATGAAATGATAATATTCAATGAAACTAAGTTATTCAAATTTTGGCTTATTTTTATACCATTCAATACTATACTATACTTCTGCGAATTTTATTTGAATAGTTTAGCTCTTTAAAACAATTTACAATATTTATCATCTTTAAATCTATATTATTCATAAGCCAATCATATGATAAAAATATTCAATGCTTGACTTGCAATCTATTGACAAAAGTTGAACTCATTGATAAAGTTTTTCGCACATCTGAAATGCTTTTATGCGTTATAGTAATATGAAGTGAAAAGATCTTACTGGTGAATAATATTCAAACCCTATAATAACGAAATTTATTTGCTTTCAAACTTTTTTTCCAATCCATTCAATTACTGATTGATAGAGGTAGTATAATTTTCTGCGAAAAGTTTAAAAGCCACAAATCCTCCATAACCTTCTTGACCTCTCCAATAAATTCCTACACCCTTAAGAGGTCTTTTGTCAGAAACGACATCTCGAATATCTAAAAATGGCATGAGCTCATTATAATCATCATCAATATCAAGACTGAAGTTTGGTAGTTGAAAAGTAATGTAATTTTTATCTGGTTGACTTAATTCTTTATTTTTCAATTGTGAAACTATAGGTATATTCATGTTAGGTGTTATCAAATTAGTTCTGTAATTTAAAAAATTTCAAGATTAAATGCTGATAAGATTTTTCTTCAAGTAAAATGAAATGTTATTTAATAATTACCTGCTATCAGACGGTCTCCAGTATTCTACAGCTTTGATAGTCGTATTTTTCAAGTCACGAAGTTTTTTTCCATAGAGTGATAAAACAATCCTTTGATAAACATCATCATGACGAAAAGAAAGACCTACATAAGAATGTTTTGAATATATATTTTTAAAACTCTTTTTCTAGAGAATAGTATTATCTGAAATGCTACTGTATCATACCAGTGACAAAATATTCATTCGGAAGAGTTATGTCATCTGTTTGTAAAGCTCTATAATCGTAACTCATATTTTTTTTAGATTTGCAATCATCTAGTTCTTGCCACTCTAAAGTGTCTTGATTGATTAGTTGATTATCAATCAATTTTCCTTGTTGGATTTGCATTCTTAAAACTCGGTTTTTAATTCTGAATCGAACACCAGTGACAACACTGAAACAAGGAGAAATCATTCGTGCTGATCGATATCTTTTTAAATTTAATAGTGTTTGTTACAGCAAATAAATTAATATGTGATAAATAATTAAGCAAGACATTGCTTACTATCCTCTTTCCACATCAGATGAAATTTTATCCAAGCAAACTGCAGCAGTTGCACTTGGTTTCTCAGAGTTATCGCAGTAGCATCGACAAATAGGACAAATTTCTTTCCGGTTTTGCTGTACTTTCAGTCGATAATAGTCACTTTCAGTACTAAAACCACCGACCATCCAATTCCATATGTGTTGTATAGACACTGATTCAAGATAAGGCGATCTTTCCTAAAAGTTAAAAAGAAATATTTGTATATTTAATGTTTCTGTCTCTGCATTTGATTTATAACAAATATATTTTATTCCGTGAGAAAATATTTATTATGATTAATCAATACTATATATAATACATAGGACTTCTGAATAATAAATAAATATTTTTTTTAATACATGACTGTTCGTTGAGCACGAATACTTAATAATTGATTCGATGATAAGTATTTATAGTTTTACCTTATGTGTTGCACACTGACGTGCACGTCCTAAACATTTTTCATTATCAGGTATTTTATCATATGTATAGTAAGTGCTATACATAAAACCTGAATTTGTAAACTCTGAACAATCTTGTGGGCAGTACCATTGTATCGGTAGAAAATACTGGGCGTTCATTGTAAACCGTGATAAGAAGTCGAGATTATCATATGTAATGCCTGAAAATATCTTCAATTAGTTTATCATTTATTCCAGGACTTTAAAATTCAAAACAATTGAGCTAAGATAAGAAATGAATATAATAAAAAAATATTGTCAGAAATTTAACATGATTGATTTTTTTTTTAATTTTTAGAATTAAAATAAATACGTTAGTATTTCATTAATTTTGGAAAACTAAATTTAAAAAACTCGTCTAGTTTTTTAGCAGTGTCTAATATCTCTTAGAATAAATCAGTAAAAATAACTGTATACCAATATTCACTACCTGTTATATCAATTTCAAGCATGACTAATTTATTCAATGGTAGACTTGGTATTGATTATCAATTGATTTTTACATATTTATTTTAAAAGAGTAAGGTGATCATAATTTTATGAAAAAATTAACTTGATGTATAAAAAAAAACCAACCTTTACTATTGTCATCTGGATCACCTTGCTCAATGACAATCAAATTTGATTCTGCAGAAATGAAACATTTTATTACAAAAAGTAATCCAATTATTATGGCAATTTGTCCCATTATTATTCGTTTACTTTGAATGCAAAATATTCAGTAGTATGTCTCTGCCTTGCTAGACTTCAATTTTTATGCTGTCTTGTACAAAACACTACCATAGAAAACAGACGTATGGATGGTTCTAAAATTTTATTAGACTATTTTTATATTTTTATTAAAATCGTCTTATTAAGTATGTCGACACTGTTATCTCAAATATTTTCTTTTATAGTTGCTTTTATTTTTACAGTTGTTTTATAACCAATGACCTATTGTAGTTATAATAATTCGATTATTAAATGTTTTCGTTAATTTCATTGTATTTCTTACTAGTATAAACGTACAAACAACATTCGATAATGACGAACAAATAAACTATTAACATCAAAGACATTTATCAGCATAGAAGTAAAAAAATATTTATACAATGACTGGTAATAAAAATTTATAAGCTTTTTTTTATCGAATATGTTATTTTGATATAGGGAAAGAGGGGGTTAAGTGGAACACCATGAGAAAATTGAAGTTAGCAAATTATCTATTATATTAAAAAATTTTAATCATTTTTTATGTATTAATAAATCGAAAAATTGATAAACAGAAAGTGCAATATGCGTTTTTAAGATTATTTTAATAAATTAGTAAATTTTCTCGAGCGTTTCACTTTGCCTTCGTGTTCCACTTTATTTACTCTTCCCCTAATACCAACGATAAATTAATCATATTGAAAAATTTTTCAGTTTATTTAAAATCTCACAAATAAAATCAATGTTATAATTTATAAACAAGTGATCTAACCTACCAACCTAATTAATTGTCAATCAGGCTAATCGGATTCTTAATGATTTCTGAAACTTCAAAGAAAATAGAATAAAGTGTTGAGGGGTTTATTCAAGAGGGTGAATATTTTATTCAAACGTTTCTAATACGTCACTAGAGATTGCTAACTTCAAAGATTTCCTTGTGGCCATTTGCTTTAAAAGCATGCGATTTAAACTCTATCAAGATGAATAAAATTAGCATTCACGCTATATTATTGAAAGAAGGAAAATTATTAAATCTTAGACTTACTCTTTTATCATGATAATTTAAAGTATGTTTTATTTATCCAATAGTAAAAATCATTTTTCATGAATTCATTACCTTTACGGTCACATGAATCATTCAGAGATATTTTTGCTTCCAATCACAAGATTAATATCGTTGAAATTGGCTGAATTTGAAGATAGGTTTGGAAAAAGATGGTCTAGAGAGAAAGTATTTTATATTGAATAATTATTATTTCATGAGAACACAGGGGTGATTTTTTTTATAAAATTTCATTATTTAGTATAGCAAACCTGAAGGATCAAAGTAATTTTTTTCAGTAGGTCGTCATTATTTCAAGCGGAAGAAGGAACATTTCGAGGGAGTGTGCCATAAGACTAGGTATTCACAGCAGGGTTGAAGACTTGGTGTACGTTGGGAGGGTTTAAAGTATTTAATAGGCGTTTCGTAAAAAAATTAATTGGCAACTTGAGAGTCTGAGAGATCTTGAGATAGTTGTGAGATTCTTCTCAACATATATAACCTCTCTCAACGCACATTTCGTTATCGTTTTTCGACTAGCGGGACTTAGTGAAGGGTGAATATGATTTTTTGAGATGCACGTTTTCGAGCTCTCCCTTTTTTATTGAGCCAAGAAGAGAGAGAGGTTAAGGACAAGTCGACGAGGGTAAAAAGATCGTCGATGAGATTGCCTAAGTTTTCTTATGGGATCCTCATTTATATGTACAAGGTATATATATAGCTCGCTGTTTTTCCCCTTTTTTATTAACATACTTATCATGCCAATTTATTTCTATAGCTCTAAAATTTCAAGGCATTGAACTCATCAGTAATGGAATAGTTAAAAAGTAATACAATACCAAAACCATGTGTTGTTCTAGGATGTATATGAAAAATAGATGCTCTGGAAAAGTGTGGAAGAACTTAATTAATTATAAAATAAAGCTAAAAAAATGCTTATTGATTTTTATTATAGAGTATAGAAGTTTTCAAAAATGATAAAATATTTTAAATTGTTCATTAAAAAAAATCAGACTTAGAAGTAGTGATGCTAAGAAACAATTATAATTTAAGATTTTGCTGTAGATAAAAAAATAGTTGGAATAATGATTAAAGTTGTTTAAAATTTATATTTTTTAAATAGTTATACCACGTAAAGTTTATTGCAGCAAAACAATTTGAGTTGAAAAAGTTGCAAAAATGTATAAAATATATTGTTTTAGAGTAGTTTTGATAAATTTATCGTAAAGTCGTTTTTTGCTGATAGTGATTCCCAGGAATTTTTTAATTCTTTTTTTAAATTTATGACATTTTCAACTTCATAATCATTTTTTGGCATTCCTCAAATAAAATATTTTTGATAAAAGCAAAGACTCTTAAAAAACTCCTTTTATAATACAGTAACTACTGAAGTGGATAAAGTCTGAAGCAAAAAAATTAAATGTAATCTTCATGAATATTGTCATAGTCATATCACTAAATTTTATTTTCCAAATTTTCGATAAAATTCACGAAATGGAATTGAAAAATAAAATTATAGAAAATTTTTTGACTTTTTTGCTTTTTCAAGTTGTTTATAAACTAAAATATGCCGGTTGTTTATGGAATCAACACAAAAATACTACAAAATATAGACAGTAAAATTGTGATGAATTTATTGCCACGAGAATATTACTTTTTGTTATTCCGCAAGCCAGAATGGCTATTAAGCTTATCTATAAGTCTATCGATTTCGTGGATTTATTTATTTTCTAAAATATTTACTATTCACTGAAAAAAAGTTTAATCACTACGGAAAAACAAAATTTTATTCTGACGTGTATTTCTCTCGTAAGAAAACGTATTTTTAATTTAATTTTTGAAGTGGTATAAAAAAAGTTATAGCATTTTTCGTCTCCACTATCATTATTTGTATGCTCTCTACGCGGAAACTTTATTTATGGTAACTAAACGTTTTTTTACGATAACAACACTTTAGTTTAAGTCATACGCTAAAACGAATATCGTTATGGTGCCAAAATGTTTTTCGGCAGTAATTAAATTTTTTTTCAGTGTTTATAGGTGAAACACTATCGATTTTATTAATCAATTTTCACCAACGGTACTCTTGAAACGAATCAATAAAAACCTTTGCAAATCAGTGAACAGCAATAGTATCCACGGATTTATTTGAATATAGCACTATTAAAAGTCCTCCTAAAAGAAATATTAAAACTCTTTTGTCTGTCGATAATGACTTCTGTAATACATTATTTTATCAGTACCCATAAATTTTCCGTTTTCCATCAACACCATATTTCACCATAAAAAAATAATCGTAATTACTTGAAAGGACATTTTTCTGGATTAACTCGAGAGTGGCTCAATCCTTCTCTATCATCAGAGATTAACTGATCCAGAGAAAAATTAGGATTCCGTGGTACAAAACGCTGTGTACTATCGTTAATCCAAGGTATCAGGCATTAATTGTAATTAGAGCCATAGAACACGGATCGTAGTACTGCGGAAATGTAAAGCGAATGGTTAGGCAGTAGCTCGTGCTCGTGTTCACGTTACCATGGCGTTAACGAGCTTACGAAGTGCCGGTCGGTCAGCTTGCACACTCGATCGTATATCGTTTCATGTTAGTTGTTGCTGCATCTATTTCTCTGTTGTTCGTAGGCACCAGTCCATATGTATATATATATATATATGTATATAGATATAGATATATATATAAATACGTTTGTAAGCTTAAAATCGACGACAAGGGTTGGTTTACTTTAAGGGGGCGTTTGAACACGCTTGGACGAACGGGTAGATAATATCAACCCTATACCCGAGGATCACTTTCCTCAGGGATAACGACACGTGTCTATAGCTCAATTAACTCGCAACAATAATTGAATAATAATCCTCTTCGTGATGTGCAACCTCCTGTATTATGTATTTCACATTTGTGCACTGCTTATCACTACATATGGACCCAGTCCCCAACTACTGCGTTGTGATTTAGCATCCATTATCAGCTCATTTATTTCACTTGACAATAGATAATAAGCTATTACTGTCCATGATTATGAATATTTTTCTTGCGGCTTATCTGATATTTTTACACCCACTTTCATTTAATTGCCAATGCTATTATTATTTTAATTGCTTCATTATGTTCAATTAATTTATCAATACTCATTAATGGAAATATTTCAACTAAATTTTTATTGTTTTGGTTGAATAAAGTAAAAACTATTTATTATTAGAATTTTAGTTGTTTTTTTTTAAATTAACAACCTATTTGATCATTAAGGCATAGCAACTTATGAATTTTAAAGGTTTTACAAAACAAAAAAAAATCAATTTAGATCTTTTAATAATAAAATTAAAATACTATTTGATTAACTTTATGGGCATCTTAAAATTTTTCCATTAACTATGTATTTTAAAATAATACGAGTAATTTAGATTAAGAGGAAATTAAGAGCTAGCTTTTCAAACTTTTATAGTTTTTTTATTTTATCGTAAATAAACAAAGAATGTTATCAAAAATCCTTCACTCTATTTGATCTATAAATTATTAAATGATTAATTCATCATTTATTCTCGAATGGCAGAAATTCTTTTTTACCTTTATCTTTAAAGGTGAAGGAACTCAATGTTTTGAAATTAAATTTAATTCAACGTTCATAAATTAGGTAGAAGGAAAAACATAAAAAGCCGAAAGCTGGAATGAGAGGTAGAGAGAAGAAGAAAGTTAGGTAAATCTTTCTAGTTGTATACTCTCGGTTGCCACGTCAGTCTCATGGAATCTTTGCAAAGACAGCGCAATTTGCTTGAGCATTTGATCCTCGTACATGATCGACGGGTTGTCTGTTAAATTTTCTACAGTGTCTTCTGCGTTCCAGAATATTGACCGGCTTTGGCTGTAGGCCAATATACTTTCAGACCGCTTGACGGTCAATCAATTTACACTACGAGTAAGCGTGTGAACATCAATCGAAGGTCACGATCGTGATCTTTCGATCTTTTGCCAAGGGATAAATAAGCGAGGGAACTCTTAGCCGTTTGATATTTACCCATTAAGTTATATTTCATATTTTTATTTTTTGCTTTTTCTCTTGAATTAAATTGGCATGCCACTACAGTGAAACTCAATTCGGCTTATTTCTCAGTTGAAAACTTTACCTGACACTGTAACTTATTCCATTAAATTTAACTTTCCAAACCATTTATTTCGATACTTCTTTCAAGATGTGAAACTTTGCTTTCGCATTAAATTTTCTCTTATTGGTAAAACAATTTTTTAACGAGACCAATTATTCAGTAATCAAACTTATTGTGTCGTCACTTTAATTAAATTCTATCTTCTTTAACAATATTTTTTTGTTCAATATTATAACAGATGGAAGATGGAAGTAAGGAATAGAAAACGAAAAATTTTCATTCTTTTTAACAATAATTGTTTTTAGAAACAATTACATTTTTATTTACAGTATGAATATTTTTTAATTCATTTTTATTTATTAATGCCAATATATTTTTTAACTAGAATGTGATATGTTATATACACTAAGAGAAAGATTCAACTATAACCTATCAAATAGAAAATTAATATTATGTATTAAATTCAATTATTTCAATTTTTTTAGTCCAATTATTGATTAATAATTAGCTAGAATTTTTTTAACAATAACAGTTTTCAAAGTTATTGGTATAATTAAAAGAAATACGATCAATTACTATAAAAATTTGCAAATTTTTATGGTTTCTGATTTACGATTAAAATAATTTGTTGTAGTAGCTCTACATCTATCAATCGTATGATTATTTTTCGAGCAAAACGATATGCTATTGCATTCAATCATGCAAAATCCATAAAATA